GTGTGTGTGTGTGTGTGTGTGTGTGTGTGTGGGTGTGTGTGTGCGCGTGTGTGTGTGTGTGTGCGTGCAGCTCTTCACATTAAAGCAGTGATGTCCTTGAACCCTCAGCACGCGGCTGCAGAGACTCTTTAATTTGTGGGTTTTGTTTCTGCAGCTGATAAAAACAGTTTCTCTCTTTATGTCTGAATATGAAGCAGCTGAAGGCCGACGCTCCTCAGAGGAAACAAACAATAAGATATTTACAGATATTATTGACTTGATGGTAAAAATTAAATACTTGTTTTTAACCTTTATTGTGTAAAACACAATACTCAAACTGTTTTCTGTCTGAAATTTATGTTTCAGCAGCAAATTAAACGAAAATTAAATGATTTAAATGATTTAAATGATAGACTAGATTTAAAATAATAAATATAAGTATGTGAAGTTTAGAATTATAACTACTAACTGCGTCACATTAAGAGTTATTTATAAGTTCATTATTCTGTCAGTGATGTGAGATTTTTTGGGTTTTTATGAGTAAAAACAGGTTTAAATCGATAAAAGAGTTTCAGTCGTACCTTTTAATTTTGAGCGAACTTTATTGGCCGTCTTCTTGATGTCAGCTGTGAGATCCTCCAGCTCCTGTTTGGTTTCTGAGGAAACAAAACAAAATGTTACGTTTCATCTGAAGGAAGAATCAAATCGTCTGCACAGTTCTGTTTGTTTATTTATTTATTTATTTATTTATTTATTTATTACAAACGTCCCTTCAGATGATTTTATAAAAAGTATAAAGAAAAGCAGAATTTGACATTTAAACATCAGATTTTTACTCAACATTTAAAAAACTTTATTTATTTATCAGAGACTGAAGCAGTTGAAGTTGGAGTTTCTGCCTGAGGAGTCCAGTGAGGGTCAGGAGGGCGAGGAAGATGAAGATGAGGAGGAGGAGGCTGTGAAGAGCGGGCGGGCGGCCATGTTGGAGCGGGGCGACGGTGAGCGCTAACTGCAGCGGTGCAGTCAGATTTACGAGCGCTGCAGTGCCTTTCAGCCTCCTCTACCTCTGACTCACCCTGCTCTCCGTCTGACCGCCTCGCTGCATCCCTCCTCTTCATCCCTCCTCCTCCTCCTCCTCTCCCTCAGCAAACAGGGCGTCGCTGCAGCTGCAGGCCGTGGCGCGTTTGACCCACTAACGTCTGCCTGCATCACAGTCTGAGAGACGAGGCTGCGGAGGCCGGATCTGATCAGAACCACTGGTTCTGATCACCTGAGAGATGAAGATTTATGTCTCAGATTAAAGAAACGAGCTCAGAGCTGCAATAAAGTGTCCTCAGAGTGAGCTCGTTAGCTGCTCGTTAGCTGCTCGTTAACCAATCAGATTAACGAGGCTGATTGATGGAAGATGTCGTCGACAGAAACAAACCAATCACCAGGTTCACGTCTGCTCACACTACGACTCCCATCATGCATCAGGCTGCGACACTGAACCCACCCAGAACCAAGGAGGAAGAGTCGTCATCTTCCTCAGTGTCTCTGCTGCAGAACTGACGGGTCAGAGGTCACCATGGCAACCAGTGTCTCAGCAGATCCTGGGCCTGATGTCTGTATTACCCAGCATGCTGTTCTTCCAACATAAAACCCCTCAGATCTCCAATCAGTTGATTTCTCCAAACTACGATGCCTCTGACTGCTGCAGGTAAGACACTGGCTGCTCGTTATTCCTGTGGTTCATCCACATACTCACATGTCCTGGGGGGGTAAACCTCGCCGCCTCCTCCCAGCCTAACGTCACGTCATGCAGTTTAACACGCAGCAGAGACGTCACAGCGTCATGCAGACGAGACGGCAGAGGGACAAAAAATGACAAGAAGGAAAGGAAACAAGGATGGAAAAAAAATCATTCATCATGCAAAACAAAAACAACAACATGCAGTGATGTGAACTCAAACAGTGACAGCATGCAGAACAAAACAAACCAACATGAAGCTGATCTGTAAAAAATAAATGATAATATAAAACAATAAACTCATTGTTTTTATTTACAGGTTTTCTGCTGAGTCGACATTATTGCATAAACTAAACTAAGATCAATTTTCTGACTGAGTCTGAACACCTAAAATGACTCCTGAGTCCTGGTCATGTTGTTTCACATGCAGAGCACCACTCCGCCCCTGGTGGCCACTCAAAGTACTGCAGGCTGGTCCAGACTCAAAGAATCCAGATCCCTCAGCCCAGCCTTCCAGACTGGAACACGTTTGATAAAAGTCCTGATGGAGCTCCAGTTTGACAACAAATGTGTGAGAAAAGTTCCTCCAACAAAGACTGAAAAGGCTTCCAGCTGTTTGTTTTGACATCTGGAGAAATGAATGAACCACATGGAGCTGCGTTCACAATCACAGCCTTCAGCTCGGTCTTTAGTCCTGATCCCGGTTCTGCCGTGCCCCCTGGGGGTCTTTAAAGATCCTGTTTCAATAAGAAGATGAGCAGCGTTCACGAACAGAAACCCCGTCTTTCCTCAGTTAAAATATGTAAACACTTCAGATAACTAACAGAAATGCAGGTACGCACTCAGTGTAAACACAATGTTTCCCGTTAGATTCTCCACAAACACATCATGAATGCATGTCACCACTGCTGCGGTGCAGACTAACACCTGGTGCAGACTAACACCGGGTACAGACTAACACCTGGTGCAGACTAACACTGGGTACAGACTAACACCTGGTGCAGACTAACACCGGGTACAGACTAACACCTGGTGCAGACTAACACCGGGTGCAGACTAACACCGGGTACAGACTAACACCTGGTGCAGACTAACACCGGGTGCAGACTAACACCTGGTGCAGACTAACACCTGGTGCAGACTAACACCGGGTGGAGACTAACACCGGGTGCAGACTAGAAACAGGTGCAGACTAAAACCTGGTACAGACTGGAACCTGGTGTAGATTAAAACCTGGTGCAGACTAGAACCTGGTGGAGACTAGAACATGGAACAGACTAGAACCTGGTGCAGATTAAAACATGGTGCAGACTAGAACCTGGTGGAGACTAGAACATGGAACAGACTAGAACCTGGTGCAGATTAAAACATGGTGCAGACTAGAACCTGGTGGAGACTAGAACATGGAACAGACTAGAACCTGGTGCAGATTAAAACATGGTGCAGACTAGAACCTGGTGGAGACTAGAACATGGAACAGACTAGAACCTGGTGCAGATTAAAACATGGTGCAGACTAGAACCTGGTGGAGACTAGAACATGGAACAGACTAGAACCTGGTGCAGATTAAAACATGGTGCAGACTAGAACCTGGTGGAGACTAGAACATGGAACAGACTAGAACCTGGTGCAGATTAAAACATGGTGCAGACTAGAACCTGGTGAAGACTAGAACATGGTACAGACTAAAACCTGGACAATGCTCTGTTTTGCAGAGATGATCTTGTTTTGTTGCAGTGCAGCACAGAGTCTTCCCCGGGTCTTGGCTCTGGACCTCTGGACCTCAGTTCCAAACCTAACCRTGACTCAGTGTTGCTGAGTCATGGAGAGTGGTGGGACAGGGTGAACACACAGTGGTCTGAGTTTTGCACCCCKGACCTTTTTAACTCCTCGTCAGGTGTCAGGAGGAGCAGCTCGTGGGTTCTGCCAGCAGAACTCATCAAGCTGCAGGTTTTACACTGATTGTTCAACACTGAGCACCTGATTCATGGTCCAGACCTCTGAAGGACCATTTACCACTGGAACACAACGTAAACACTGCTCAGACCGGCTCATGGACCAGCTTATGGACCGGTTCATGGACCAGCTCATGGACCGGTTCATGGACCGGCTCATGGACTGGCTCATGGGCCAGCTTATGGACCGGCTCATGGACCAGCTTATGGACCGGTTCATGGACCAGCTCATGGACCGGTTCATGGACCGGCTCATGGACTGGCTCATGGGCCAGCTTATGGACCGGCTCATGGACCAGCTTATGGACCGGTTCATGGACCAGCTCATGGACCGGCTCATGGACCAGCTTATGGACCGGTTCATGGACCAGCTCATGGACCGGTTCATGGACCGGCTCATGGACTGGCTCATGGGCCAGCTTAAGGATCAGTTCATGGACCAGCTTAAGGACCGGTTCATGGACCAGCTCATGGACCGGCTCATGGACCAGCTTATGGACCGGTTCATGGACCAGCTCATGGACCGGCTCATGGACCAGCTTATGGACCGGTTCATGGACCAGCTTACGGACCGGTTCATGGACCAGCTCATGGGCCAGCTTAAGGATCAGTTCATGGACCAGCTCATGGACCGGTTCATGGACCAGCTCATGGACCGGCTCATGGACCAGCTTATGGACCGGTTCATGGACCAGCTTACGGACCGGTTCATGGACCA